TATACAAATGCTTTATCTAATCTGTCTTTATCTAATATGTTTAACTACTTAATATGTTAATTTTTTGATTATTTGCAAAAAAGAATAACTTAACTTTCCAACTAAAAGATGAAAATGAACAACGGCATAAGAATTATTTTAGTTACTAACCTTTAGGGATATTAAATTGGCGCGAAGATTGGAGAGAGAGCGTAAAGTAAGCGGAGTGAGCGATAGAAAACTACGCTCACGAAAGTGGCGAGCGCTCACCGTGAGCAGCTCACAGAGGAGGTATACTGAGGGGGAGATAGGGGATATACTGAGCGCTCAATGAGCGCGGATAATTTAGACTACTTGCAGTACACAACACTATTGAAATACAAAGAAAGTAATAAAAACAATTTTCCACATGTTTTAAACAAGAATGCCTCGAATGTATACAAAAAGACTAAAAAGAAGATTAAAAAGAAAAAAATGTAGCTGAAAAAAGTGTAGCTAATACAAAATTATAATGTTTGCAAAATTTTAAAATTTTAAGGTTTATAAGGTTTTAAAGTTTGTAAGGTACAACAAGGATAATGACGTTAAACACCATACGTCCGTCATCTATTTTTGAAAAAATCAGCTTTCCGATCTACCAGTCTCGAAGGACTCGAAGCAATCATGTTCAGTAAAACGGAGATCGTAAGAGAATTTAATTGTCACACCGCTCCGGAAACGTCCAGACTTTTTGAAGAAGAATAATTAATTAATTTATACGTACAAACATCAGCGTCGACTCTTGTATAGCCACATTAACCTTTTCTATTTTATTGAAATTTTGGTCAAGAGAGAATGCCGCTCTACGAGACTCGAAATATTTAAAATTTAAATGTGTTCGGAATTACTTGCAATTTCGAGGCAATTTTCAAGAGCTAGATGTCTACTTCTGTTTCCTTGCCTCTCCGTTCGGTCGATGAGCCCTACAAGTGACGAGTGCGCTGCTCAAGCATAAGACTGTCATATGTCCGCAGGAACTTGCGAGAGGCGTTCTTCCTAATTACTATATGTATTGTTTTGTAATATTTTGTGTCAAGTTTTAAATCAAATG